GGGTCCGGCACTGGGCCCCCCATTCCAGAAGGCGAGCTTGGGACCAGGAGATACGTGGGTCGTGGAGGCGGAGCCAGGGAAACCCCAGGATTAGAGGAGAGGAGGGAGCACGGATAATCAGGAAATGGAGGGTCTCCCGGTGGCCCTGGACTGTCATCTGGAGAGACTGCGTTCGGTTTTGGACAGGGTAAGGCTGGAGGGGCCTGCCGTCCACCGTGGTCACTGGTACAACCCTCTCCAAGGGGGTAGTGGGGATCCGTAGGCGTTCAGCCAGATCCACATCCATAAAATTGTCAGCGGCCCCCGAGTCCACCAGCGCGTGCATCTGGAGCGAGGTCTCGCCATATTGGAGGGTGACGTGCAGAAGGAGCCGATTGGAAAGGGCAGGGGTTGGAGGTGACCCAGGCTGAGCGACCCCGAGACTCAGTGGGTTCCTTCGTTTCCTGAACGGAGGGGGCAGTTCATGCGTCTGTGGTCGGGGGAACCACAATAGGCGCAGAGGCCCTCGCGCCACCTTCGCTGTCTCTCCTCCGGAGGAAGGTGGCCCAGTTGCATGGGCTCTTCAGTGGCAACGGGTCCGGGAGTAGGCGTGGGGGGACGAGGAACAAGTCCAGGCGCCCTGGATGGGCGAATGAGAGGCTTGGGCCGAACCAAAACCCGCTGATCCATGCGCAACGCCAGATCCACAACTTCATCCAGGGTCTGGGGTAGCTCCTTTCCCGCCATCTCATCCCGGATCTAGGTTGCCAGTCCCTCCAAGAAGACGGCTCGGAGGGCTGAGTCATCCCACCGCAGCTTGGCGGAGATGGTGCGGAACTCCGACGCATATGCGCAAACAGAGCGCTCCTTCTGGCGGAGTTTTAAGAGTCGTGTCTCTGCCCCCATTTCGCTGCTGGGTGGAACAAAAGTCTTTCTGAGAGCGGCCACGAATGCAGCGTAGTCGCTGCACTCCGGTGATTTGGAGTTGTAGAGCGCAGCAGCCCACTCTGCCGCGCGTCCGGGGAGCAGGGAGGTGAGCTGTGCTACCCGAGAGCGCGCAGTGGGGAAGCGTCCTGGGTGGCACTCGAACTGCATGTCGAGGGTAGCAAGCAGACCGTCTGGACTCCCCGTCTCTCCGTTCCACTTCTCCGGGAGACTGAAGTGTGGCTCTCCCGTTGGTGGAGTGAGGGCTTGCAACTGGAGCGCATGAACCTGCTGCTGGAGAGCCGTGACGGCAGTAGACATCTGCAGGGAGAGATCGGTCTGGGAGTTCAGCCTGGTGTTAAGCTGGTCGACCAGGGCGTGGAGCTGAACGTTCTCGCTAACAACCTGCTCCAACTTCCTCTTCATCTGCTCGAACTCCGCTGGATTAATGGTCTCAGTCATCCTGTCAGACTCGAAGACTGGGTTCGGGAGTAAGAGCTTTTATTAGAGACTGCTGGCTGCAAGCGGTGCTGAAAAGGCTGACGGAAGGATGAGGTCTGAGTTAGAAAGGTGGAGGTTTAACTGTCTTAGTTTCTGAATACTCTGATCATGGAACACGGTGGAACGATGACTGAGTGAAGAGCCGGTGTGGCGTCTTCCATATATAGACATGGATGACGCAGATGCAGCGTGGAGGGAATCCCCGCGAGGGGCATGCTGGGTAATGGTCTGAGACAGAAGCCGGTCAGCTGGGAGAGCCCGGCCTGGGGGCTTGGACTCTGACATTAACTCCATATTTTGATGCTACATTACTGACACCTACACAGATATTATGTTTAACTATTAAAGATTAAAGTCCCATCATTTGTTTGTAGTAAAATTTGTCCATGCATTTGACCCATCTCCATGGGGAATAATGAGCTGCAGACACGGCCGTGCTCGGGAACTATTTGGTGATTTAATCTCCCAATCCAACATCTTCAAAGCGGAGTGTCAAGCAGGGAGGCATTGGGTCCCATTTTTCTGGTATGATTTGAGCCCCGATCTCCCAGTCCCAGGAAGAACACTCATACCACTCGGCCACTAACAAGAAGAAACATCCCATCTCTGTCAAAATGGCGTCTCAGTTTTGCTTTTTAAACAAAACAAACAAAAAAAAATTACTTGAACACTAACCCAAAGAGCTCCCAATTATTTCAGATGGCTCCCTGAAACAATATATAAAACTATTTTTGTAAGTGCTTCAGCTTTATTCATTTCTAATTAGACCATATAGTTCATTAGGGATGTAAGAAAATATTGATATGGCAATATATTGAGATATATTTTCCTGCAATATTATATCGATATTCAAAGGCCCTGTATCTAATTTTCAGAAAATTTTACATGCAAATATTTGTGTATTTTCTTTTCTTTTGGTGCAATTCAAATGCCAACCGCTAGTTGGCAGCAGTGTGCAATTGGTTTTGTTTCCACCACTGATAGGATAGACACCTCATGTTAAACACGTTAAGTATCAGTTTGGATTGTTTAATGAATTTTCCTACAATAAATTCATCTAAAAAAATGCTAATATTGTCTGACTGAATGTATCGCAATATATCGTGATATATCGTGTCTCCCCTGTATCGTGATACATAATTTCACCAATCCCTATAGGTTATGTGGTTGATGATGCCAACACTGGGTTGCAATTGAATCTGCAGTTGCCGGTTAGGTCAAAAAGATTGTGGTGGACAACAGAGCCCAAGGGAAGAACACTGGGCAGTTGTCAGTGACCTGAAAGAACATGCATCTGTTGAGAGTGGTTGGACTGATTCCAGACGAGTCAGCTCAGTTCAGCTGTGTTTTACCTAATTTAGCATTTACTGATGTTAGTCACACATCATCGTTTTACCTGACCTCATCAAAATGCACTTTCTCTATCAAAAGGAATCAGAATATTACTCAGATCCATCCTTTGTTGCTAATTGACACACTGGGTAAAAGTGTGTTTTGTAAACTAAAGGATATTTGTATACACTGGTTGTTTTTAGTGAAACAGTAATTGTTTCAAACAGTGAAGCATTTGGTTAACTATGATTTCCCATCACATTGAATTGTTACATTTAAATTTAATTTAAATTTCCCTTATATTTATGAACAAACCAAAGGTTCAATTAGACAAGAGATGAAAAGGTGAGAATGCTTAAAACACGACAGCATGTACAGTCGGCTTTTGCAAACCTGTTGTTAAAGAAAACAAACCACCAAATATGTCAGAGGCCACTTATTATTAAACTTCTGTCCTGATTGTTGCTCTTGTCCCATGAGCCTGGCAACACCTCCATATCTGGGATGACTGGGTTGAACCAGTCGGGTTTCTGCCGCCCGAGTTATGCTGTCTGTGCAGGGTTTTTGTTCCAGCCTGACAGGCACCCACTGTAATTAACTCCATGGATCACTCTGCATGCTCACTCAAACAGACAAAAAAAGGGACAGAGAGAGAGATGGGGAGGGAGAAAAGTGAGAAAGAAAGAGAGGAAGTGATAGGCACAGAAAGACAGCAGCAGACTGTATGTCTGACAAGACAGGCAAGCAGCAACAGTTCACACAGAAATGTACAAAACACACAACACCACATTAGCTGAAACATAACACATAATAATAATAAAACAATGTATGTTTTTATGTACAGGACTTTGAGCAACCTTACTGTTGTGATTTCAAGGTGCTCTATAAATAAATGTGGTGTGTTTGGTATGCTATGGTATGGTAACCTGATATTTTAAGATAAATCTTTCCCAGGAAAATAGCAACAGGGAGAGAGTCCCGTCCCCTTCTCTTTCAAGCTGTGTTTAAATACCTAATGCCCAGGCTTTCCTAAATTTATGCTGAAAGAAGCAAAGGAGGCTGCTCCCAAGCTGAAGTCTCATACTCTGTAATTTATGTCACACAGTTCTGTCAAACTTGAATCATAGTTCACACACACACACACACACACACACACACACACACACACACACACACACACACACACACACACACACGCACGCACGCACGCACACACACACACATTGTTTTAATAAAGATCGCTCCTTGCTCCAATAAATTAATCTTATTCGGATCCCTATAGTTCCTTCTAATGCCGCCTTGCATAGATTCTGTCAACTGGTGAAGTAAACAGGACATGTGCCCCGAAAAACTAGATTGTTGCACTGAATCCATCTATAGCTGTGTGTGTGATAGTGTGTATTAAAGTGTCTGCCTGCATGTGAAATCTTAACATCAGATACAGTATAGCTCTCTATGACGGATGTCATGGTAATCCACAGCTGGGCCCACCATCCCTCCCTCCATCTGCTATCAGCATTTTTTTTTTTACATATTTTAGTCCATCCTCCATCTGTTTTACATTCAGCTTATTAACAGGCTAAAATTTGTGATCTAATGAAAAAGAAACTATGTCCAGAGGATTTTAAATTTGTTATAAAACTGATGATACCAAAACCTTTTTTTCCCGTTTTTGTACTTGTGGCATTATAAGAGGTCAGGTCAGGTGTTGCCATATTATAAGAGACAATGAAGTTTATTTGCTTGAAGGTGTTGGTGTAATACCAGAAAAGGCGATGCAAGGCCATGCCTGCTGCTTGTTAGACCAATAGACAGAGTCTGATTTGGAGGATTAGCCAGGGCTCTTGTTTTGGAATTAGCTCCAAACTAAACACATGACTGGGTTTGCTCACACAAAGCCAGCAGTCAGGCCAGATAGCTACCATCCCACTGCTCTCTATTGTGAGCTCAAGATGAAGAGGGATTCATTTCTTCTTGCTTCTACAAGTGTGGCCCCACCTCATAGTCAATTCATGTCATTTAATAAAGCTTCACATTATTCATAAGAAAATAAAGTATGGTTGACCACACTGCTGCATTTCATTATTTCGTTCCACAGTGAAACTGTTGCATAACGGTTCTTTAATCTTTGAAAATACATTCATAATAACATCCCAGAATGCACTCTAATCAGAACTTCTAGGACTATTCTGAAACAATTAAGAACACAGTGTTTATTTTTCTTTCAAATGAATTATGGGTAAAAGAAGAAGAAAAAGCCTTACCTGAAGTTCACACCAAGCCACCTCCACCCAGGTCTCAGTGTCTAGGCCTTTATACACTGTCTTGAAGGCTCCTCTGCCAAGTTCAATGTCAAACTTGAGGAACCTTCCACCAGGAGAGGTGGCAACAGCCTTCATCTCTGCCTCCTCCTCCTGCTCACGGTCCCTTTCTCTCACACTCTGGGTAGGTACAGAGAAAGAAGCATCTTTGCCAGCTTCGTGGCCCTGGGATGGGTCATGCCCTAAAGCTGCACCTGAAGAAGCAGCACCTTGCTGCTGAGCAGTGCCAAAGCCTGGTTCTGTGGAGAGTAACTCCAGATGAGGAGCACTGTTGGGAGCCTCGGGGGGCATCACTACCTCATGTTCCTCCTCACAAATCTCCACACTCTTTCTAAAGAAGCGCTTCTCCCGCCTCAGTGGTTTTGGGCCAGTTTCACCTGATATAGAAGGTGTGGATAAAGGAACCGGGGTTTCTTCACACTCCTGGAAGGCTTCATCATCTTCTCCCCCACCCTCTCCTTCCTCTTTTCTGACACATCTATCACCTCCTCCTGACTCTCCTTTCTTTTGAGCCTGGGAGGAGAGGGAGTCCACGGGGGTGCTATGCGTTCCTTCCCTCTGTTGATCAGTCCTGCCCTTTCTCTCCTTGTCCTCCTCCTTCTGTCCATCAGGTTTCTCTGAGGAGTCCTCTGTGCCAGTGGGCTCTCCTGGGTCAGTAGCCATAAGGAATTGTCTTTCCCAATCCTCCTAGACCTCCTCCTTCTCCTCCTCCTCCTCCTCCAAACTTCTGCTTCTCCGTCAGTCCCCGTCTCTCTCTCTTTTTGTGTCTCGCTCTCACTCCTTTTAGTCTACAAAGCTGCTCTTTCAGTGTTTCAGGTGAAGGCTCGTTCTTTCACTCTTCTTCCTCTTCCTCCGTCACAGCTGCTGAAAAATAGCTTATGTCATCACTTCCTTTGTAAACACGTGCCTACATTTTCAGAAGAATCCTCTTGTAGTGAAATCACACATCAGAGTTAACACACTCAATTCCAGCCGTTTTCACCACTCATGTGATGCTCAAGTTGTTAATGTCTTTCAAATGGTTATGTGGAAGCTTTCAGCTAAACCTAAAAAAGAAAATAAAACACTGCATTAATATTCTGATCTTGACAGGAAAGAATGACAGACAAGCTCTGACATACACACACATATAGCTGGGTCTACGTTTACAATTTGCCAAAGCTAGCTAACGGCATGGCAATCAAAAGAAAACATCGACTGTTGTATACTGAAGACGACAACATCAGCAGCATTGATCAGAAATGATATACTTCAATCAATCCTCCATCTTCATCACCGTCTTGCGACTTAAATTGTGTTCAACAGCTCCATTAGTCAACAGAGAACTGCAGTTAGGCGAATGCAACTCCCGTCATCAAATATGGATGACGATCTAGGGGCCAGTTGAGTGTGAATAATTAATATGCAGAATGACTATTGAACTCTGTTGAAGTGACTACAAGGCACCTGCAATGGGGGGCGGATAAACATAAACAACTGCAATTATGGTAACCACCTGAACACTCATCGGACAACAGTATTGCACTTAAATATTGTGAAATGAAAGATTTCCAGCTAGCTGAAAAACTGTCCCTGGGTATTTCTGTGTTTGCACTTATCACTGTGTAAACAAGTAACACGCAAATATCTTTTCTTCTCATCCATCTCAAGGTTGTCTGTCTTCTTTTAGTTTTCTGGCAGCAATTTTAAAACTGGCTCACACACAAAAAACAGAGATGTTTGGTAAAAGATGCTGTCTAGTCTGAAGTTTCTCTGGAAACCGTATCTAAGAGACAGAGTTGAACAGCCAATAACAGATTTAGAAATGAGTAATAAAATAATCTGCACTCTAAAATTTACAGGAAGCAGGCAGCAACAGCTGCTGCAGAGATGAAATGCATTTGCAGGAGGTGGAAGGCACAAGCAATGAGAACACTCAGGTGAAGTCCAGGTCAGGGGTAGTAACTCACTTTGCATATTAGCTTACAACCCACTACATATTAATTTACTGCTATTAAGGTAGTGCGACTTAGGTTGCGAATGACCACAGTCACCAATTCTTGTCATGTGTCTATGTATGTATGTCTGATCTCAGAATTGTGTGTACTGAAACTCTAATTTCTCTCTGGGATTAATAAAGTATATTTGAATTGAATTGAATTGAACATGAGAAACTTTCTTGGGCTTCCTTGAACACTTCTCTAGGACACCCCTGTCACTAACACCCAACCCGTCTTGGGTTACGGCACACTTAGCCGTTAGGACATCTATAAGGACCATGGTACGGTTGGACTTGGTTCCTGAAATGTCTTAGCCCGGCAGGCTGTCCTATGTAAAATTATAATCTGGCCATGACCCATAGACAGAGCTCGGTCATAGGAGCGGAATCTACGGCTGTCTTTCAAACTAGGACCAATCAGAGAAACAAACAACTTATTCACCGCAATAGCAATCAGTCAACGAGGCAGTCTGCCATACACCATCAAAGATGAAGTACCTCTTTCTGCTCACAAAGAAAAGCCCAAGTCTAAATTGTCCAAGGTTGATGCCAAAGCCATTTCAAATGAGTGCTGTTCCTGAGCCGCTGCCATGGTAAGAAAAAAAAAAACTCTGCTGTAATGGTGCTAAGCCTGGCCAGCGTCTCTACAAACATAGAGAACTGTGACTGACCTGGCCTAAAATTAGCTGAGCCAATGGTAGACCTGCTGAAGCTACAATGGAGTGTGGCTGGACCAACTTGCAAGCAAAATCTTTTGCTACTGCTATGGCTTGTCTAAATTTCTAGTCTAGAAAAGTCCAGAAGTGTGTCCAAACCTTTACTTTAAAAGAACTAAAGCTTACTTTCATGACTTGAGACTGACTCCCATCAAGCCTTTTTGTGAGTCTGGGTTCATAGTAAACAGATCTGACATGTAATGCCAGTAGCTGTCAGATGGATTAAAGCACAAGATGATGATGCTAGACCGACTGCTGAGAAACTGAAAACATAGAATTCCAGTTTGGCGACATTCCCAGGACAACACATGTTGTAAGAGACAATGCTAGGTGGTGTGGAGTGACTATCTGTAGCAGCCTCTTACCTAGCCTAGTGAACTAGACCAAATTCTTGCTTTGCAAATAATACATTTATTTAGTCTGGCTTGCCAGGCTACCTCTTACCACAAAGCAACAGAAAAAATTGTGAAATGAAAGGCTGCTCATGGCTTATTTCTAAATAGCAGGTGACTGGGGAAACTAGATTTAGAAACCATTCATGGATAAAACAACAATGCTTATTTGAACAAGGAAAATGTAAAACTGATCAATTTTTTTTATGAAATAAAATAAATTTTATAATTTTTGTCCATTAATCTTACGACAACCAAACCTTTATTACAAACAGTAAAAGAGGAATGGCTCCTTAATTAAGTAAAGTAATGACCTATAACGTTAGTAGAAAACCATTTCTTTCTCTGTTCCTTTTTGTACAATGACCAAAATTAAAGAAAAATGACCAGTTCCACCAACCCCCCAGTGAGGCTCAAAAGGTAAAACACAACAGGAAGTGATGGACATGAAAGAGGAACAACAACTGACAATAAAGAGAAGGAAGTTGCCCTTTAAACAAGAGCTTTTTCGTCCATGTCCCCAGGGTGAGGAGTTCCCATGAAAGCCACATACCGGACAGAGTTATTACAGTACATCAAACACGTTCAACTGCATCATTGTCTCTCAAACCCTCTCAGTCTGTCTTACAAACACACACATATACACATCAACACGCAGGTAAGAGTCTGACACGCACCGGCTAGTCGGGACGAACTTTGTTGTTTTACACCATCTTTTATACACAGACAAAAACAGGCACACACACATCAAAAGCAAGCAGTCACTCACAACCAAACTGCATGTCCCCTTTCAATGAAAGAATGCCGAAAAGAATTTCCTGACACCAGCCAAATGACCAACAGATCATGCGGGCAAATGTGGTCAAACCAAAGTTGAAGCTAACAGGAGCAACGCTGCAGCTGAAATGGTGACATCTTGCTTGGGCAGCAAGATGACTCAATTCAATTCAATTCAATTCAAAGATACTTTATAAATCCCAGAGAGAAATTAGAGTTTCAGTACACACAATTCTGAGATCAGACATACATAGGCAAAGACACAAGACAAGAATTGGTGACTGTGGTCATTCGCAACCCGAGTCGCGCTACCTTAATAGAGAACAGAGGGGTTACATGAGGATTGGATCAGGTGGAGGAAAAAAGGCACTTCAGAGTTACCCTCTAGAGGGAGGCCAACTTTGCTATGCAAAAAAAAAAAAAAGCACATACACATCAGGATCTCCAAGTCACAATTATTCTATTTTCATTTATGTATCAGCGCTCAAATCCATGAGAACTGAGTGTTCAAAGTGTTGCAGTGCGTCTGCCCTCCAGGCTTCTGGGCGCTGCTGGAGCACCATGCTGATTCCTAATCATCTGTGAAATGTGCAGCGAAAATTGTTCAGACAGTTTTATTCCATGATCAAGTTATTAACATTTCACTAGAAATGTGTATCTATTCCAGCAAGTAAAAATGTGCTGCATGAATAAAAACATACACAAAAGTTCAAAAAGAAAAAGCTTGATCTATTGCTCTTTTTGCAGTCACTCCAGCTTACCAAATAGCTGCAGGAAAACTTTGCCCGTTTGACAAAAGAGCGCCAGGGCAATTTTTTGTGTGCAAGCAGACTGCCATTTTTTACAAGTGAGGGCATCATGTAAGAGTGGATAAAATGAGGCGAGGGGGACAGGAAAGGGTTTGCAGTCTGTGGGAGCAGGCAGACAGTAGAGATTCAAATACATACAGAGAGAAGAAGAACATGGGCGTGGAGGGGGCAGTGAGCACAAAGGGGTGGGAAAAATGTGTGAGTGAAAAGGAGAGTGAGAGATCAAGGGGGGGGGGGGGGCACAGACAAAAAGAGAGAGGGATGGGGGGCAGGTTTGCTGATAAAATATGTGCCAGTGTTTGTGTGAATGAAAGCAGTGACTGTTGCTAAATTTCTGCCTAAACAAAAGTAGCAACATTTGGGAGAGGAGAGGAGAGGAGAGGAGAGGAGAGGAGAGGAGAGGATGATTGAATTAGCATGAAGATGTCCAGTGGTATAGCTCCACTTACAGAAGACTAAGAGCAGGTCGCTGTTAACTTAATATTGAGCTAAAACTAAACTCTAACCCCTCTCCAACCACCACTGCGAGAAAATAAAGCCCAATTTTCCCAAGAGATTAGCTATATTAACAGAGTATTTCCTTAGATTTCACATTTGGCATGAGAGAATTAAAAACGTCATTTTAATGAGCCCTTATTACATTTTTTCATAAAATCATATCATAAAAAACGTTGCATGTTCTTTATCAAAGTATATTCATGTTAAAATAGCAGGTGATCAAATGTAAATGGTCCAGTTTGTTCAGCTCATGGTGATCAGCCAACCTGAAACTTAGTTAATGAGGGATATAGACAATAGATAAGTTAATGTACGTGTTACGTTTTATTTTATCGCGTTTTTAGTACCGTCACGATTAACTTTTATCATATATTTTTTATTTATTTTTAATTGTTGGATTTACTTTTATGACCATAATTGGTGTTGTTATATTGACTATGATCCATCCATCCATCCATTTTCATCCGCTTATCCGGAGTTGGGTCGCGGGGGCAGTAGCCTAAGGCGAGAGGCCCAGACTTTCCTCTCCCCAGCCACTTGGGCCAGCTTCTCCGGGGGAATCCCAAGGTGTTCCCTGGCCAGGTGAGAGACATAGTCCCTCCACCATGTCCTGGGTCTATCTTTAGGTCTCCTCCCGGTTGGACGTGCCCGGAAAACCTCACCAGGGAGGCGTCCAGGAGGCATCCTGACCAGATGCCCGAGCCACCTCAACTGGCTCCTCTCGATGTGGAGGAGCAACGGGTCTACTCCGAGCCCCTCCCGAATGACCGAGCTTCTCATATCTCTAAGGGAGAGCCCAGCCACTCTTCGGAGAAAATTCATTGCGGCCGCTTGCATCCGCAATCTCGTTCTTTCGGTCAATACCCAAAGCTCATGACCATAGGTGAGGGTGGGAACGTAGATCGACCGGTAAATCGAGAGCTCCAGTGAAACCTGGAGATCACATTCTGATGAAGCCAACAGGACCACATCATCTGCAAAAAGCAGAGACCTGATCCTCAGGCCACCAAACCGGATGCCCTCCACACCTTGGCTGCGCCTAGAAACCCTGTCCATAAAGGTTATGAACAGAATCTGTGACTATGATCATTTCAGATAAATTTGATGGTTTTAGTTTAGTATAGGACATCCATTTCATTATCTTTAGTTGTGTTGTCTTAATATTGTTTTTAGTACAGTGTAAGACCATTTTTATTGTTAATTCAGTTTTCCCAACCATGGACAGGAGTTGTAAATTAGCATGTCACATCAGTTACATCTTGTACTATGCTGGACAGCAATGTCCCTGTCAAATAAAGAAAGAAAAAAAGAAAATGGTTTTGGTTTGGTTTTGCCAACAAAAATCTGAATAGGTGTGGTTTTTGCAAGGAAAAAAAGACTTAATTTAAAATATTACCTTTGTAAAAACCTTCAATCATATAAATAGGGAGCCCAAGTCACGGCCATCTACATGGGTCTCCAATGGCCCAAAAAAAAATGAATGGGAGTCTATGAGTGGATAAAAGTTATTTTTGGATCCTGTTTGAAATGTGCCTTGGATTTCACATATGATATCCATACATTTTAGAGATTTTGATGCCAAGAAAGACATTATTTTTGACAGGCGGCAAAAGTTATTTGTAAGATGTAATGGACTACAAATGTTCATCTCATGAAATATATGTAATCAAACCAGACACAGAGATGAGAAGAGGAGAAGATAAGTTTAGAGATCTTTGAATCCTTCTTTCAGGACAAAAGAAGGATCATCAAAAATGGAGAAAACCACTAAAAATCTGGCCATGTGGTAAGTAGCCGCTACGCTGGGGGAGAAAGGACTCTGCGATGACGTCACATATTCAATGTCTGATTTGTAATCATTTAAATTACAATCGTTTACAAGATAATAAACCTAAAATTACAAGACATAGTCAAGACACACATCATTACTTTTAATTTCGATTGAACAACAACAAATGTGTGATTCAGGGCGTAGGGCAAAGAGGTTTAGAAAATATCTCTATCTGCTCTTGACTTAAAGAAAACTCCAAGTCAAAACCGTCCAATGTTAAAACCAAAGTCGTTTAAAACAAGCCATCACCATCTTTTTTTTTCACTCAGTCACAGTAACATCTCGCCCACCAAGCTGATAGAGCTCTGTGATTGGTAAGCCCCAAGACTCTGGGCCTGGTGAGGTTCCAATGGATCATGGCTAGACTGATATGCAAAGCAAAATCAGGGTTTCCCCGAGCACTTTATAGGCCTGGCAGGCCACCAGGCCTTGCTTGGCCCTCCGCCAGGCCAAGTGCCCCCCCTCCCCACCCCCACACACACACACACTACGCTCTGTCTAGATTTCTAGGCCTTGCACTACTATCGTTGAGGATTTTTTTTTATCAATTCAATGTCCTTTTGGAGAATTATAAATATATTAATAGTTTGTTTATGTCCATCAGTAATATTTGTTTTTGTTGTCCATCCATCCATTTTCAGCCACGTATCCAGAGTCGGCTTGCAGGGGCATCACCCTAAGCCGAGACGCCCTGACTTCCCTCTCCCCAGCTACTTAAGACAGCTCTTCCAGGAGAATCCCAAGTCGTTCCCTGGCCAGCCGAGAGACGTAGTCCCTCCAGCGTGTCCTGGGTCTTCCCTTGGGTCTCCTCCCAGTTGGACGTGCCCAGAAAACCTCACCAGGGAGGCATTCTGACCAGATGCCAGAGCCACCTCAACTGGCTCCACTCAACGCATTTGTTTTTGTTTTGTTTTGTTTTGTTTAATAGTTTGAAACTTACTGTGACCCCTTGAATTTGAATATCAGTGGTCATTATAAATGTGGTGGCATGCTTTATCAACTTTCTGCTGCTGTCATTTGCATTTAATCAGATCAAATCAACATAAACACTAAGTTTGGTGAAGCTGTACCAAAGAGTCAGCTGCAGTTCTTTTGTTTGAAAACTAAAATGAATGAATAAAATCTGGAAGATGACTGAGTGATGGAATACTCATCCACCCTGGATGTAGATCGAATCAAGAGCAAATTCAAACCTGCTTGCAACTTTTCCACGCATGAATAATGCAGGATTCAAATCTATGCAGTCTTTTCTCCAATTCAGCATTAGTCCCACAGAGATTTACAGAGGAGATGGAGGCTGAATAATGTGGGGAGACAGAGGTAACACAAGGTCTGAGAGCTGCTGGCCAAAATTCAAATGGGCTCCATGTCAAGAGACAACTATACAAATGATCACATGCCGCTGCAGCTCAGCTGTTGATCACACAGGAAAGTTCAAAACAAAGGCCAATGATTCTGAGGAGGCATCAGTGATTCAGGGACAGTGATAAGTACACGAAAAAGATCAGCGTGATGCTTTCACACAAAAATACAGAAAGTGGTAGAGCTTCAGCTGGGAAAGTTTTCCTTTAATTACCTCAATGAAAACAAAAAGGACAAAAAAGTAATAAACTTGGAAATTTTACTAAAATATTTAAAAATAATCATCCTGGAAAAGGAAAACCAGCTTTTCCATAGCAGGTGGACAAGACAAACTCTCCCCTTAGTGAATAAAAAGCACATGCTGCTTCCCTGTTTGACATTTTGAATGCCGGCAAAAAGAATATTAAACGCCAGCCGCTGGATTTCAAACACACAAGCATTGTTGTCTTCATGTTAGGGGGAAACCAAAGGCTCAAAACACAACAAGGACTTTTGTCCAATCCAGGTCAAGCATGTGAGACTCAAGTGTAGGTAGCAGCACAAACACTTCACTGTTTACACAGAGAGAGAGCGAGAAAATGAGAAAAAGAGAGAGAAAGTGTTATCCAACCTCGGGTTTGGTTCACTTCCATCCCCCTTAGTGGGGCAAAAACTATTCAATTCCAAAGAAATCCTCTAATCCAGGTGAGAGAAAGCAGAGATCTTAATCAGCCAATGGTGAACACGGATTACATATTCCTAGAGAGGATTAATACTGTGCATTATGAAAAAAAAACAGGCTGTCGTTGTCTGGTAATGATGACCTGAATGTTTTAACATATTTATAGTAAATGAAACAACAACTGTATCAGGGTAAAAGGCTATTGTGGGTTACAGCATGCACTGTAGGGATGCTGGGAGAGCCATCTATTGGCTAACTGTAAACTCAGTAGACTTTGTAAACAATGCAAAAGGTAAATGAGTCATGATGGTGAGAAAAAACAAAGCAGGTGAATGAAGCATCTCACATCAAAACACACAAAGGACTTCAAAGCCTAAAAGCACGTTTTAAATCATACAGTTGGGCTAACCACTAGTGTCTGGAGGCCTGACTCCACCTGTACTTTAGTGTTTTAACACCTCGAGGAAATTTTCTGAGTAAATATTAGCAAAAGAGGAGGATAAATGTCCCAATAAGCATGTGTGCTTCTTAAGCCAGGTGGGGTGAAATAAAAATATTTGCCAGCAACACAATACTAGCCTATCATTGCCATGCAAATTGCAATAATTGTTCCAAAATAATAAAAATTATCACTCACCCAAATGTGACGACGTATCTCGTTATCCCGATGCTTTTTATTGGAAAAACACTAGCTAATACACGCGGTACCGTCTTTATTGCCCATTTACAAACCTAAACAAGATTTACATCGAGCCTTTTCTCCGTAAAGATGCTTCAGACGAGCAGAAGGGATGCGTTAACAAGAAGACACGTGAAGAAAGACCGTGCATCTGTTTGTTTTTCTCTTTTAAAGATTGATCACGGCGTTAACGGCTTTCAAATTCCCATCCGAGTCGTCAAGCCTAGCCTCGGTCTGTGTGACAGAAACGGGAAACCGCCAGCATACGTGTTCCGGCCGGCTTAGACGATGCTTTGACGATTGGTGGTTTACACTTGTCCCCCTATCGCTGCTCGGTTGGTCGGCTCCGAGGAGAGCAGTCGGCCTTTCATGGGAGTCCCGAAAACATCAGTAACGTACGAACATCGTCTCTTCGTCAACTGTATGTATGTTCGCGTGCGCACTCACTGAGCGCGCGCTGATGACAGTTCACTCGCCAAGGGGTTCTAGGGAACGTAAAAAAAAAAAAAAAAAAACTGACAAGTCATATGTTCGGCCAATAGAGGGCGGTGTTTTACATGTTTATGTCCACACACACACACACACACACACACACACACACATATATATATATATATATATATATATATATATATATATATATATATATATATATATATATATATAAGCGTGCGCGCACACACCTATAGACACAGACAGACAGACAGATAGATAGATAGATAGATAGATAGATAGATAGATAGATAGATAGATAGATAGATACATAGATACATAGATAGATAGATAGATAGAGTCTGTGTACGTTTTTTAACAATTAATATAAATGTATAATGTGTTTTGAAATGCTACTAGAGTTGGATCCCCTTTTGCCTACACAGAGGTTTTTATTCTTTTTTTTTTTGTTGTAGATTTCGTTTATGTTTAGGTATTTGGTAGATGCTTGTATCGATAACAACTTTAAAATAAGGCATTTATCTGGGAGCAGGGGCGGTTCTGGGGGATGTCCAGGGTGGGCCAGTGCCACCCTCAGAGCACCATCCACAAGCTTCTGGACCGGACTAAGATCTGGCAGCTGTGGAGACCACTGGAGTTGAATGGATTCATTGTCGTGTTTGAGAAACAAGTTTCAGGTGATTTGGGCATTGTGACACTGCATATACTCATCAGATGATGGGTCCACTGTGGTTATAAAGGTATGGACATAATCAGAAATCATAATTAGGTGTGGTGTTTAAATAATGTTTGGCTAGTACTGGAGGTCCCAAAGTGTACCAAGAGATCATCCTCCACACCTTTAAAAAACCGGTAGCCTAAAGGCAGGGTGAGTCCATGCTTTTATGTTGTTGATGCCAAATTCTGACACAAATATCTGAAATTTACAGCTGAAATTGAGACTCATCAAACCAGACAAATGTTTTCTATTCCCTTCTTATCCTAGTTTGTTGAGTTTTGTGAGTTACAGTCCGAGTGACCTGTTGTTATCTGATAGATGTGGTGCACTACACAGCAGGAGGGTTCTCAGAACTTTATAAATCCAGATTTTCTTTTCATTCGCTGGATTTCACAAATAAACAGTGAACCATATTTGTGTAGTGGCAGCCATTTCATGTTTGGCATATTCATGGAACTTCATAGAAATCAGTTGACAATAGACAGCACACCCTAGGAGGCGGCCACCGCAGAGGCACAAATTAGGTTTACATAAGCTGTAATGTAGTTAGACCACCTTAAAACCTGCTTGATATTAAATAAACAAACCAAAGCCACCCTCACAAAACATTGTCATTATGTTTGAAATTTGGTGTTTGTCTTCCTTTTATAGTTTTATTTCTTCCTGTTTGGTCTTTGCTTTCCTGGTGTGGAGAAGTTTTGTTCATTGCTTTTTCTTACTTGGAATTTCCTGGGACTTCCATGAACTGCACCAGTTCACAGCAGTCACATGTGTAAGCAAACCCCAGATTTTGCCTCAAATATCTGCAATATTGGTAGTCGAAGCCAATTTTTTTAAATCTTTGTAGAAAATTGTCTGTGAGGCACCTTGAATAAACTGAGTTGTATTTCTACAAACTAGTGATTTGAATACTTTTAGGGGGTTTATTAGAAATTAACAAATGCAGAGAAATGGGCAAAAACATTATAACCTGCAGAAATATGCTGCATTTTTCCATTTCCTATATTTCTATCTGAACATATTCTCAGAAAACCAACTGCCTGAAGCAGAAGGAGCCCAGGAACATCCTGACAATAAAAACTTTTGAGCTCCTAGTAGAACTCTGATTCCAAGAACTAATCTGAATAAAAACACACACTCTTCCATTTGGCCATTCTGTTCTCCATTATCGTTACAATGCAATGTGTTGTGTTGCTTTCTATGAAACGATCAAATCCAGACAAAAAGATGTTTTACATTTTCTCCTAGCATCAGATAAAATAGTTTATTTTTCCACACTGCTTTAGCGTCAGACCTGCAGGAGGCCAATTGAAAACTTTCATTATCAACTACAAAAAAACTACAACCTTTCAAATAAGTTTAAATTTAAACAAAGTGGAAACGCGTTGCAGACCTGAGACATTAAAGCCATTTGAGGTGAGCCCACACAATTTGTCATCTTTGTTAAAAATAAATAGTTTGACCAAACTAGGACCAAGTTTAAAGAAATCTGTAAACATGGGTGCAACGGCTGATCTCTGGACATAAGAGCAGTTAAATCCCAGGTGGGACAGTAGCAATTAAATATGTATGACACAAAAAATATATAATCAAATAAAATAATTTTTCCAGAGAATCTATGTGCAGTTGGATAATTTCAGGTTGTTGTATGTGTTGATTAAAATAGCCGGTGTCTGTATATAAAGCATCCAATTACTCTTGTTGCTCAAGCTGAGAGCGTGCGTGCACGCACGCACGCACACACACACACACACACACACATACAATGTGCTGTTCAGAAGAGAAAACGTATAACTTCCAACAATGGCTTTGGGAAAAAGGCTATTCCAGCTCAGTTCATTCACTAGTCAGCATCATCCTTTGGTCATCAAGCGTAGGCAACTCCTCTGGTCATAATGTTCTTCATTTCTTAAAGATCTTTTCAATTCTTGGCTGAAAGGCAGCTATGACACGTATTTTGAAATCCTCTACAAACCACTCTCCGTTTACTTTGTTCCTCCACATGACAGGAAAAGCTAAATATTTCCGTGTCCTCTCGTAGCTCTTCAACATTTTCTGCTGTTTTTATGCAGAAGCTCCTTGGATTTCTAAATGTCCTCATTAGTGATCCTTCAGGCATTGCTGCGGCGTCATGTGAGTCGGTATGAGGCAGAATTAGGCTTCGAGCGGTGGTCTCAGGGGAATGCAGCCATCCATCTCCAGAGACTCGGGCCAGCCTTCATACTTGTTGCTGTTCTTACTGTTCTTCATTCGCTGTTGGGAACAAAGGTAAACAGACTGGGATCGGGTTGTCATGACACCGCAACACCTAATGCTTCCTACTATTTCTGGACCTGAAAGTTTCCAAGTGACTTAGAGGTTCCCAGTCATTATGGCTGCTATGGCTCATTACTATAAGTTTATTACAATCAGCTTCATTTAAAAGATGGAGAATGGTCAGACTGCACTGATCATTTCTAATATACAATTAATTATAGCTGGATTCGGAAGCACTGAAACCAGGATGCAGCTGCTGGTGGGGAAGTTGATTTGGTTTTGTTGGAACCAACAAGCAAACCGTTCCTGTAGGGCTGGGCAATAAATCAAACATTCATCGTCATCAAAATTTCTGACTCTTATCGAGAATTTTTCCCATGTCAATAAATCTGATAATAAAAAAGTGAAAAAATGTGTGTATGTTGGCAACATTCATGTCCCTTTAAAAAGCTGTACCACCTTGAGTCACGTAAAAATGTGACTCAACGTAATACATGCGACAGCCCCACCTAGTGGACAACTTCCGTTTTTGAGCATACCTGTAGTTATTGTCCATTTATCGTTATGGAGGTGAAATCTTCAATATATTGTGATATTGATTTTAGGCCATATCGCCCAACCCTACGTTGCTGTATTACAGTGAATTTAACACATCTGAGCAGCTTTATGGCCATGCTTGAAAACAACTAAGTGGGACAGAACAGCTGTGTAATACAAATCACTCAGGTCATTTTTACTGTGAAGTTTGGTGAACCAAAGCCTCCATACCTGCTCAAAGGGACTCTTATTCTCGATGCCCTTAGCACCAACAAACACCCAGCTGTCTCTAAAAGCCAGCTCTTTCACCGCTGAGCTCCCGAGCTCCTCGAACAAACGCCGAGACTCATCATTCATTCTAGGAGAAAGAAAGAAAAAAAACTGTTGGTGTTTATTGTTTAGACCACGTGTTCATGCTGAAAAACACCAAATCAGTTTCATTTGAAGTCTTTTAGCACAAAAACTAATTTGCCCATAGTTGAAACATCTTGTAAAAAGTTGCCACCTGGATTAAGCAAAAATGTTTGTTTATGCATAAAGATATAACCTTTCACAGAGGTGAGGTGGAAATGTGGGTGAAGTGTTCTGCCAAAGGACACAACAAAATCTGGGATTGAACCAGCAACCTTTAGCTAACTGGACGACCCACTTTACCGCTCGAGCCACTGGTACAAGCCTCCTATTTGACACTTTAACCTCAACTGTTGCCATGAGTAGCTTCTCATTTCTTAAACAAATGTGTCAAACGAGATGCGTCTGGGGAAAGATAGTCTGTTGGTTGACACACACCACACAGAGCAAACATCTAAGGAGACTGCAGAAACCACTAAATGTCCAATGCATTATTAAAAATTGGAAAGTGGGGAACCATCAAAAGAATGTCTGAATAATCATGATCAACAATTGCTTTATCCTTTAAGCTTCAATCTTTAAATGAAAAGCGCTTTATGAATTAAGTATAGATCGATTAAACGTTCGGTTAAATCAAAGCAAAGAAAACCAAACGTAGAAGTCTGGGCTGTTTAATAGTGAAAGTACATCTCCACATGCATAACGCAAAGGAAACTTAAGGGACTGGGACTAAATAGCTGTGTAGTCGCAAGAAATTCCCTCATCAGTGAGGCTGAGCAGAGAAAAAGGCAGCAGGTTGCAGGGAAGCATAACAATTGGACTTTGGAGCAATGGAAGAAGGTCATCTGATCTGATGAATTTAGCCTGTTCCAGAGTGAGGGGTGCATCAGGGTAAGAAGAGAGGCTGATGGATGGATGCAGCCATCATGCAACACGCCTGTGGTCAGTCTGTGATTTAGGTTTGGTGTGGTTGGACAGGTCGAGGGTCAGCAACATTATTTGCCTTAACCCCATTGAGAATCTTTGGGATGTGCAGGTCAGATTCTCCCATCATTAATATAAAGTCTTTGGTGTAAAATTAATGCATCAATGCACGAAAAAGAAATGCTGCGACATTGCAGAAACTTCTCGAAACAATGCCAGAGCAAATGCAATCAAAGCTAAAGGTGGTCAGATGAGGTTACTACTCACTTTATCCAAAACAAGACTGTAAATCAGGTCAAATACATGTTCAAATGAGTGATCATAAAAAGTTGGCTGTAAAATCAACAGCAGATACACTGTTAATCATTCAGACTGGACATTCACCACTAACGTTTAACTTTCAATGAAACTGTTAATCAAAACCTTACAGGTGCTCAGAGGGCACCGATATGACATTGTTCTTACTTTGTAGCTGCATCATCAAAGGAAGCAACAAACACAAGCGTTCCTTCATGAAGAGGCCGAAGAAACTTCAATAAGTCAGAAACGTCTGAAAGCAAAGACCAGATCTGGCGTGAGCCATTTTTAGGACTGAAAAAGATTTTTATATAAACAAATATACTGTGTGAGGTTTTGTTACCTCCTGCCCACATGTCAAAGTTTTTTGTTGCTAAGAGCTCTCCTGTCACACCTGGAGCAGAGAAACAAGAGTGAGATGGTAAAAAACGGCCAGATTAATAATATAATAAGAGCCTGCTACAGGTGGAGGTTTTACCATTAACCAAAGCTATGTTCAGTCCCCTGCCGACGTTGTTTCTCACACTGCTCACCAATCTGTTAGAAAGAGGAGCACACTTTTACACACAGACCTTCCTTTACACATTTGTTTACTCTGCCCGACACCAACGGAACAGCAACACGAGGGGAACAACAAGACAACAAACAAAACCAGATTAGGGAGCACTAGTCAGAAACGATACTTGCATTGAGCTCCCCCAGACAGCCTGGTTATGAGAGCACGGAGGGGAAAAAAAATAAAACAGTGAAACAGAAACAAAACACAAACTGTGACAGCAGGGGAGACATGGACAGACAAATAAATAACAAGACCTGAGCACTAAACCTTACATCTTGTCCTCCAAGCAGATTTTGGGGCCGATGACATTCGCAGCACCAGAAACTAGACGAAAAGCTAAATGCTTTGGAGGACACGGTGCTGAAAGTCCACATTTATACCTCCGGGGACGTGATTCAGCTGTAATATATGATACATTAGTCTTTGCTGAATAAATAAAGATGTAAATTCAATTTAAATGAGCCTTGCTGGTGGAATATCATCTACTTACATGGGGTTGGTTCAGCTTTTGTGTCTGAAAACAAACACATTTCTTAGTAAAACGTCTCAAAAATAAAAAAAACAGACATTGTGCCTTCTAACATATCTTTACAGAAGCAAATGTCACACCTTGTAGGAAAATTGCATTTAAAAAAATCAAAACAGTGATCCTAAACCATACAAAACTAAAACAAATTCAATCAGATTTAACTGACAAAGTCACCAGACTTTTTCCAGTGCATCTGCAGTGGTCTCTAGTATATCAGTGAGTTGATCTCTGTGGGAAAAAAGCTCTGGTGTGCCTATTTCAGGAACTAGTGGTGAGCCAGAGCAGAAAAACAACAGAGTTTTATTTTGTGATATTCAGACATCTCGCTTCTGATTGGCTAACTGCAACACAACTCTACCACTGAGTTTGTTAGCTTTGCAACTGATAGAATAATTATTCATGTTTTCTTTATCATGCTTTATGCTTTTATTACATTTAAAGATTGTTTTCATTTATCATGTTTTATGCTTAATGATTTTACCATTTGATGCTTAAACAGTTGCTGTATTGTAAAGTCCCCTCATGAGACTTTAAGAGTGTTAAAATCTGACCTAATGTGACCCAAAGTTGACCTGAGGAGATCTGCTGATCTGTCAATTGCTGACTCGTGCAACTGCTTGCTACTCATCGTGTGATTAGACACTGAAAGTTCTTTGTGTAATAATGAATGCTCTTTGTTTGAAACTTGTAACAATTAAAGACTGAGGGCTGTGTTTCCCCCCTCCCTTCAGATCAGCTCTTCAGGCATGTACCTAGGGAGCTCCCAGCTTGTAATAAATAGCCAAAGGCCAGAGTGGCGAGGGATTTCACAGTGAGGTGGAGATCACACTGTGTTATCTCTGTCATTCTCCTCGAGCTTAAAAAAGAATTCTGACTTTTGCGTCTCTTTCCTTGTGTTGTGTTGTTATATGGTGTCTTAGGTGCTTAAACCTGACAGCAACGTTGATGTTTTATCTCCACAAATAACACAAGCCTGAAGGAGTTCGTCCATGTTGTGGAGTTGGGGAAATATATCTGTGCACCATTTCTCAGACTTAAAATTTGCCCACATCACAGCTGAGCTTCAGACAGCAGGTTTAGAGTCTTATTTCCTGATATTTGGACATCTCGCCTCAGATTGGCTAACAGCGATGCGACTCTACCACTGACTTGCAACGTGGATGTTTTATCTACACAAATAACACAAGCCTGGAGGAATTCTGCTATGTTGAGGAGCTGCTAATGCTAACAGTTAGCTTAAATGCCAGCTCAGTGGCCTAGTGATAGTGTGCGCCTTGGGACTGGGAGATCAGGGTCATCCCAAAGACTTCATTAAAAAAAGACCCAATGCCTCCCTGCCTAACACTCAGTTTTAAGGGGTTCGATTGGGGGGTTAAACCACCAAACTGTCCCCGAGTGCGGCCGTGTCTGCAGCTCACCGCTTCCCACAGGGATGGGTCAAAGGCAGTTTTCACCACACCGCACCAGTGTGTGTAACAACTATGGGCCCTTAACTTTAAACTAGCCGAGATGTCCACTGCTGATTCCTGCACGTTAAAACAACAGCCTTCTCCGTCGTGAGTCAAGATGAGTGAGTCCATTAATGTTAAGTGACAGTAGCTGTTTTTATAGGACCATAGTATTTTCAAAATGGGATTTGCTGCGGCTTCCTGGGGAGGATAAAGGTTGTTTATGAGATCAGACCGTGGCGGTAATGTGGCGCCATCATGGTAATTTTATAAAAGATTAGGTGATGGCGGCATAAAGCGGGTATGGGGGCAGTCTCTGTGCTGCCGCAGACTTCCGTTTATCTTGGAAAAAACTTGCTTTTTATTGCAATTGAAGCCGTGATAATTTTTTTTAAACAAGCAGCTCCTAAAGATGTCTGTTCCCATCAGTCCCTGTGCAGTCTCTGGTGATCTGAGTTTCAGCTCTAACAGAGAGGCTCATGGAGCTCTGCGGCGCTCCAGTTTGCCATCTCAGCTGATTTTGTTCAAAAAGCAAACCTTATTGCCTGTGTTTACTTTTATTTTCAATAAATTTGCCAGTCGGAGCTCAGCAATAACTCCCCACGCCATCATGACATCTGCCTCTGTTGCGCCAGGGCCCATACGACAGACCATTACCACAATAATACTACCTAACGAGGCGGAACGAATGCCGCAATATTCGTGCAACGCCATGCCGGCATGGCTCATTTATAGGCATACCATTGTGGTAATATTACGCCGATTTGTGGGCATGGTGTGTCTTATAAAAGAGACTAGAGTGACATAGATATGTCAGGCTTTTCACATCCTAGATTCTCACCATCTATTTTCTATCAGAAGCTAATGCAGGAGATAGGTGTAGGAGACTATTTTCATGTTCAGCCTGCATGAAAAACTCTGTGACTGATTATAGTCAGAAAAACAAAAACATTTTTTTTTCAGTCAACCGCACCTTTAAGTGAAAGTGTGAAGTAAAACTTTCACTGGCTTTTCTAATCCGAGTTTCCCCGTCTATTGACGGCTAATGCAGGAATAAGGGTAAAAAACTTGTTTCACATCAGCCTGCATGTGAAACTCAGAATGACTAATCAAACTTTAAAAATAACAAGTAAAACCCGCCTTCCCAGTGAACTAGGTCTTCGAAGCTTGTTTTCTTTAAAGATGGTGTCCTGACTTGGTCACTCCACTACTCAGTAACTTCAATTTAACTTGCTTTACCGCCAAAAAGACTTGTCACCGACGCGCTACCCTCCTTTCCGAAGAAGGTGTTTGCAAGCAGCCACATGAGTCCAATCAGGAGCAGCACAGCTGCAGCTCGTAAGGGTCCTAACAAGAAAATCAGGAAAAACCAGCTTTAGTGGAAAATTTACTCAGTTAAAAAAACCAAAGATTCAAAGTAACAAAGCAGAACCTGAAACTCACCAGTCAGTCTCATGATTCAGCGTCTCATACACCTGTGCAAAGTTAAAGTTTTTTTTATTAAGCACATTTAAAACACCAGATCTTAGCCAAATGAATGTATAAGAAATTAGAACATTAAAATAGATTTTGGTCAACATTTATTCACAAGAAAATAAAGCAAAACATGTATGAGATATAGTTTTGTTCTTATTTTACTCATTTTTAAACACAAACACCAACACTTACGTTTGGTTAAATTCTGGACCTCTTTAAAATGCTACTCCTTCTGTTGGAATCTGATTGAAGATTTTCTATATTTATGGCCTGTTTCAAATTCACTCATAAAACATCAATGCTAATTGAATCTGAGCATTGATGGGTTCCTTCCAAATCTCTAGTTTTCTTATTTTAAGCCATTATTTTATGGACCATCCTAGGGATCATAACACTTTTCATATCCTTGCCCTCACATCGTCTTCAAGCCTGTTTTGTTGTCATGTTACAGCGAAAATATAGTTGAATCAACTTAAAAGTCACATCACAGCTGCAACTTGCATGAAAATGTATTTTAAGCATGTAATATAAACTGCTATGGACCTGACAAATACTTCTCCCTTTACTTATCGGTCGAGGGCCTGGTAGGATGATTATGGAAAAAAATTAACCTCTAAAATTCTAATTGAACGTGCAAGATCAAGCTGGTTTTGATCTATTTTTGAAAGAAAAAAATGTCACTGCGCCATTCTTTACTACGAATCTTATTTTTTCTTCTGGATGTCCTTGTGCTGTTCAAGCAAGGAAAACTGTCAATTTGTAGTCTACACAATTTTCCAATAAAATTGGTCAGACTCGTTATTCTTCTGTTATGATGGAAATGACTGAAAAGTCTTAACTACTGTTTAATTTGTTAAAATGACTCACCTTCAATTATTGTGACTTTTTAAAGTGAATAACGTCTTATTTTTAGTCGACTTTTTGGGTGAAAATCAGATCTCATTAAATATTCTAAAACATAAACAAAATGAAGTATTAACCATAAAGGCTAATTGAATCAGCCTAATATATATATATAGCACATTCAAGCTCATTCTTCTGGGTGAATAAAAACAAATCATAATATTTTATTGGAAGTGTTTTATGTAAAAATAGATAAATGTCATTCACTCAACCCCGATCAATGACATTCTCCTACAAGTGTCACATGAAGGTTTTACTTAATGCTGATTAAAACACGAAAGAAGGTGATGAAGTTTGTAATCAAAAGCATTATTTATCCCTGACATTTCCACATGAAACTGATTTTACCTACCTAATCCTGGTTTAAGAAGAGGCTTTTCCACTTTGCTGCTAGCACGTTCAATATCATGGAAGTACGAGCGAAATGACAAGCCTCCGAGACATTTACAGTTTCCTGCGCTGTTTCTTCATCTGGGGACTTTTTAAAAGTCAATACGGTTCAATTCAAAACATATTAATGCCAGAAAAGTCAAGTTGAAGATTTAAAACCGAAAAATCAATGAACTGGGGACAAATTATGTTTATTCAGATTCCCATTTCCCCGGAAATAACAAATTCCGCTCTGTTCTCACAGAGCATGCGCAAGGAGGTTCACGTGACCGAATGTTTTATTTACATGTATTTAATCTTCTTTATTTTATTTGTCAGAAAACATATTAAGATTTAGAAAACTTAAAAATAAATTAATTTGATCAAAGATATTTAAACAATTGCGCGAGCAGCACTAAACCTCCTCCTCACGCTCACACACGACTACTCCTCCCTCGTAATCAAGATGGCGGCGCACGGTATTGTTCTCTCGGCTTCTAAAATCATAAACCGTCTTTGGGGTCGACGCCTTGGAAATACGGCTAAAGTAAGGCAGGAAATATGCTTCATTAGTTATGTTCTTAACTACGAGCCGTGGCGTTAATCGTAACTCATTTATTTCACTTGAGCATAAGGTCATGATGCAAAAAGCTAATCATGTAAATGTCTTTAGTCGACTAAAGGTATGAGTGTGAGAGAATTCAACCTGTTTCACGTAAACATGTTATGTGTTTTAGGTATTTGCACCAACTTTGACAAGCCAAAGGAACAAAACATATCTTGTGAGTAATAAACACCACCGCTGTTTCAGCAAATAACCAAATAAAGAAAAAAATCACAGCTTTTTACTGTTTGTTTCAAAGTAATGTATATATTTATTGACATTTTTTAGTATTTGTCTTGTTCTGTATCATAAAAGTGTCAGTGTTCATTAATTTCTGTTTTTTACTTAATTTTTTTACACATGTGTACGAAAAAAGTTCTGTTGCTCAACAAACTTATTTTTTTCCTTCTGCTTTATGTGAATCTTCTTTAACAGAGAGAAAACATTGTAAGTAGCTTCATGTCTTCACTTTACTTTATTTTTTTTACTAGTTTATAATAATAAAAAAGTTATATAAATGTTTTTAAAATAATATTACATGTAAAACAACCAGTGTGTCACAATGTGAGCAATGGAATGTCTTACTTAATATTAAATGTGCTCCCAGTCTAGCACTGTCATTTTCCAACGTGCTACAAAACTATATAATGATTTAGAACTTGTGCTTAATTGTGCACGATTGACAGCTTTCACCATGAAGAAAATCCCTCAACCTGTTACTTCCTATTTCTTTATTGCATTGTACTTTTATTAACAGCTTATGCTTACTTTAGTTTCCTTTCCTGACATGTGTGGTTGACTTGTTCTAAATACTGAAATAATTAGAGTTGGAAGTAGTGCATATTCACTTTTGCTTTTGTGATGACAAGAAAACAAGTTGTTGGAAATCTGTTTTAGTATCGTGGTTGATTTTTGTGTTGCCTTACTATGCTACAGCCCCCTCCTGCAAAGTATGGAGGCAGACACACGGTGACTCTCATACCTGGAGATGGAATCGGTCCAGAACTTCTCAGTCACGTCAGAGAGGTTTTCAGGTGGTTAAACTGAACCGTGTTCAAAAGGATAATCTACAGACCCATGATGACTCCTATTTTATTGTCTGATTTGTAATTGGGCCTGTAGGTTCAGCTGTGTGCCGGTGGACTTTGAAGTAGTGAATGTTAACTCTGCTTTGGAGACGGAGGATGACATCAATAATGCCATCACTGCCATCCGTCGTAATGGAGTTGCCCTTAAAGGTAAGTTTATAGGTCCTAGAATATGAGACACAGCTGTCAGTAGCTGGCAGTTTATATTAAAACCACAATAATCTTAATAGAAAAATCTTTTTTATGTATTCAATAGGTAACATAGAAACTAAACATACCATGCCTTCATCTGTTAAATCCAGAAACAACCTGCTACGGTAAGCACCAGAAGAAGTTGTATTGGCTGCCACCTTTTTGTCCGATGGCTCACATTTCCTACCTAATTTGTTCCTTTGTGATTGCTTGCTTTTCCATTTTCAACAGCACAAGCTTGGATCTGTATGCCAACGTGATGCACTGCCAGTCCCTCCCCGGAGTCCAGACTCGCCACAAGAACATCGACATCATGATCATCAGGGAGAACACCGAGGGAGAATACAGCAGCCTGGAGCACGAGGTCTGACTGAGAAAAAAAAAATCTATACTAAAATAAATTCCTCATGCTCCTTCCTGTATAAGACAATCTGTACCATCTTTGTTTTGGTTTGGAAGGTGACTTTAGTACTAGCTAAGTCATTAACAACCTGAAATAAATTTGGAGAGCCTGTCGACCTTCTAGCATCCTGATCAATACTGACCTCATTAAACTGACTGAGCTGGTGCCAATAGCTGTAAGTAAAAGGTTAGCTAGTAGAATACACATCATAGGATATTTTTGGCCATTTTGAGTGTTTTTCTGTGGAAACGTTATTCCCACAGAGAGATAAGACCCTTTTATTTAAAGCTGCTTTTACCTAAACCTTTTATTTAGTTATTTTTAACTCAAATATGTCTGTGATAAGCGCTATATAAATAAAATGTACTTACTTGTTACAATAATGTTGGTTATTTGCCATGTAGGTTGTTACAGGAAATAATGAGTTTATTGTTGATCCTTAATTGTCTTTAGCTCTGCTGTTGTTCCATTTATTTCTATTTTCTGATTGTTTGATCTCAGAGTGTATCGGGGGTGGTAGAGAGTCTGAAAATCATCACCAGGAGTAATTCCCTCAGGATCGCCGAGTATGCATTCAAGCTGGCCCGGGAGAAAGGCAGACGCAGGGTCACAGCAGTGCACAAGGCTAACATCATGTAAGTCACTTTGTGGCATGCGTCTCTTCACTTTTCAGTCTTAAATAATGTAGCGATTAGAGATTACGATGACATGACCTCACGATCGGGGTCTCGCTCTGGGGTTACTCTCCAATGAGTAACAAAAAGGTCCCAGTGAAAATCACAGATCACATAAGCAGCTTGAAAACAAAGAAGACGGGATTAAAAGCAGGAAAAGCTGTTGAGCTCTGACTGTACAAACTGATTTGGGATCATTTTGGAGATGGATGTTTATAAGCTTCCTAAAAGGAAGGAGAAAATAACGATTCATGGAGGCAGCTAGAATCGGGACTAGAAACATGGATTTATAGTAAATACTGTCAGTTTTCATGGGAAGAACATCTTTTTACAATATGTTTGCAAACTACGGCTCAGATTATCCATTTACTTCTAATTTACCTACTTTTATTTAACTTCAGTGTTTATGATGGAGGCTGGTAAAGGAACCTAGGTTGTCTATTTAGTCTGAATTGAAGATAAAGGTGACATTTCAGATGATCACAAATGACAAACAAGTGCTCTGTTAATTAAATTTGTACAGAAATTAACTTGATTCTCAAAAGGTTGCTTTAAATGATGATGTATGCCCTTAACCCTTTGTAACGGTCTCTGAACTGGGCTCAAATGCCTGTACAATTCTCATCTGTGCACAAAACATCTGCAAGAAAATGAAGCTGAACTTTTTTCATGGAGGCTTTTGCTTACTTTACCTCTCCTCGTTGACATTTTTCACTGACTTCAGCTTTTGTTTTATGAATTTTGTGTAAAAAGCAAATTTATTCAAATAGTATGAAATCCACTTTCTGAACATATTTTAATGCTTTAATTCCACCAGTTTTTTTTAGGTAGCTATGATTTTTATTATTTAAAACCTTTAATAATCTTCAATATTCACTTTTTATATTGGAGTTATGGCAATCTTTTTAAACGTTTTACCCCTAGTGAGCACCGTAGAACAGTGATGTGTAACATCTGTTATTTTACTGGAAACATTGATTTTCTTTTCCTGTTTTCTCCTACAGGAAGCTTGGCGACGGCTTGTTTCTGCAGTGCTGCAGAGAAGTGGCTTCTGGATACCCAGATATCACATTCGACAGCATGATTGTGGACAACACCACCATGCAGGTGATGCACAGAGACGCATTTAAGTTATTCCAGCTGAATTCAAGCATCCAGCAGGAGCAGAGTGCACCCTGAAAGCAGGAGGAAACTTAAAACGACCCAAAAACAAATAACTACTAAATACAAAAACTTTGCAGGTGGCAAAAATATGAAAACAAAGAAATAATTAAAAATGCAGTAAAATGAGATTGAGCCATCTTTAGTTTTAACTTGTAGCTCTGTAAAGAAAGATGCTGAGTCAGTATTTATAATAGATTGGTCTGATTCATCCACACTTGTGTTGTTTTTATGTTTCACCTCCCTTATGTAGTTTTTCTAAATGAAATGATTAGTTTTTTGAATGTTTCCAGATCTGAATTTTGTACCTGCCCCTGTTTGTGTTATCAGCTTGTATCCAAGCCCCATCAGTTTGACGTGATGGTGATGCCCAATCTTTACGGAAACGTCGTTAGCAACGTGTGTGCTGGCCTCGTGGGCGGACCCGGACTCGTACCGGGCGCCAACTACGGTCGGGATTATGCTGTATTTGAAACTGTGAGTGGACCAGAAATGACCAGAGCTGTCCTCATTTCATGACATTTGGTAAATCTCACCTGGTGGATGTGCTGTCACCTCAGGCTACAAGGAACACAGGAAAAAGTATTGCAGGCAGGAACATCGCTAACCCTACAGCCATGCTGCTAGCCAGCTGCATGATGCTGGACCACCTTAAGTAAGCTCTCAGTGCTGCAGTTTGATCCAAAGTATAATCCTGTGACTGGATTTAATTCTGTCTGCCGTTTCTCTCCAGGCTTTATGATTATGCCACCGTGATCAGGAACGCAGTTCTCACCACAATGAATGAAACCAGGGTGAGTTCTCCATCACTGACAGGCCTTTTCCCTCTCTTGTCATTCTGCCACAAAGATAACAGACCATTATTGTGTGACAAGGTGACAGGCCCTTGTGGCAGATCTGGAATGAGAGCAGAAACAAAACGCTCACACGAGCCATCTTTGTGTCTTTTGGCTGTCAAAAAGCTCTGATCAGGTTCTACACTGTAGTGTCTGATTAAAAATCAGGTGTTAGTCTTTTCAGGGAGTTTTTCCTGTAAGCTATCAATAAAGCTTGAAAAAGACATTAACAGGCAGGAATCTCATAATACTAGCATTTCATGAGTTTTTATGTGTTTTTACATGTTATTAAACTCTTGAGTGACTTGTTGTTGTGTTCTGACAGTTGCACACGGCTGATCTCGGAGGTCAGGGCACCACATCAGATGTGGTCCAGTCCATCATGAAGATCATCCAGAGTAAAGGACAGCTCACAGCAGACTTCTAAACTGTCTCTCCTGGTCCCATCCTCTCACACACTCATCAGAGGTGTGAGTCTAAAGGGACCAGCCTCTGCACGTGGACCAGATCACAGATTATAAAAACAAACATGTGTCCACTCTTGCATGTTTTCCACATGTTACCGAGCTACGCTGAACACTTTGCAAAGTTTTTACTTTTCGTGATATTTTAGAACAACTCCGGTTCTGCTGTAAGACGTGTTTTTGTTACGGTTTTATTTAAACGGTTTAATCAGTTTTTAAACGGTTTCCTCACAAATGCCTGACAGGTTAAAGGTTAATATATAAAGTATGAAACCACTGGGAGGCGCTGTTGTCTGTGTTTTCATAGTGAAGCTGATTGTTTGCTGTTCATTTGGAAGCAACCTGTATCTTATTTGTTGTGGATAGCTCTTTGAATAGCCTTAGTTTGGGGAAACAGAAACATTATGACCAGATTGATGGGCTAACTACTAGTGTTAAGTGAGGCCAAACAAAATTAAATCTGTTTTTTCTAAACTGAGACTTCATAACTTTTCCTCTGAACCCCTCTTTAAGAGTTTTGAACTATTAAGACTTAATCAACCAGAATGTGTAATATTCTTTAAAGGCCCTAATTACATATTTTTTGTTTGCTCTAAGTTGCCTTTTATTATGGTTGTCCTTTTTGTTGATCATGGTGATTCAGCTGTTTGCAAATTAAGTAAACATTCTTGTGCAGCACATAAAAAGGAGGTTATGTTGTGTTGACGTCCGACCAGACAGATGCTCTTAAAGCCCGGTGTGAAATGTTAATGACGCACCTTTACTGTATAACAAAGATCAATAAAGAAATGAATCTTTTAATGTCTCATTTTGAGTTTTAATTTATGTCAAAATCCTGTTCTGACCTGAAAATAAGCTTCAGCACGTTTTAAGATGTCACACCTGCGTTACATGTCTTTTCTGTGGATGTGAACTTTCTGATTTTATATTCCATCACTAGATGGCAACACCACTTTCTGGTGCAAAACAGACAGAAGCAAGTTCTGTTACACTCACTGTTGAGGATCAAACTCAGGATGTACAGTACATGCTTTCACACCACGTGTTTAAGCTGCAGTGGAAGGAAAAATTACTCAAATTCCTCTATAAGCAGGAAGGCCGTTGGACATAATTGGTTAATTAGGAGCATTATAATAATTTGTTGCCTGTTATTTCTAAGATCCAGGGTCTTAGCCTTAGGTTATGTATTTTTAAGACAAACCTGGAAGGTATGCAAATAATCACACTCCACCTCTTAGTGTGATAATGCCCTGCAGCCATTGGGCCACATCTGAACATAATCATCCTGGCTAATTTATCATCTGGCCAACGCTGTGGGAACTCTGCACCTCTTTTTGAACATTTGCATATGGAGCACAGAAGTCCTCGGAGGCCTGTTCTCTTAAATATTAGAGAAGATCACTGATCATTTGCAATCCCACTGCAAAATGGGAATGAAAGAGCTTAAACTTTGACATCTGTTTTTACTTGCTCACACCTTATGTAAGTTATTTACCTGCAGAGATAGAGGGTTAGGGTTAGGGTTTCATTTTCACTGTGCTTCCTAAAGGAGTTTCTCTGATCAGTTTGTTCCATCCAGGCTGTTTGCCTCAGCATATCTCACAGGAACCCCTCACCCCGTTTCACCCCTCAATGCTGCTGGTCACGCCCACCTGAGCCGCCGCTGGAGCCGAGCCCTGAGGCTGATGGACATCAGTTTGGAGAAACCAGGAGATGCTGCAACAGAAGGTCAGACGACCTTCACGGGCTACCATTCAAAATTTAAATAAAGCCTCATTTTCAGCGAACGCTCTGGTGTTTAATTTAAGAGATGCTTTTACTATTTTGTTGAATTTTAAAAGCAAATTATTTAAAAAAATCATTTTTATTCATTCAGTGTTTTTGCAGGCATGCAGACAGTTCATGTTTTATGTGCCCAGTCATTGAATCTGTTAAACCTATTGTTGTACAAGGAAACACTTCTGTTGGTGAAACCGAAGTTCAATTCTGTCTTTTTGGAATATTTTACCTAAAAAGGAGGAGTATCAAAGTAATACCTTCGCTTTGGTTTGAAAAATAAAAAAACGTCTTTGTCCTACAGGAATGAACTAACGGCGGTTTCAGGTCGAGTCCAGAGTGTTTTGCTGCTCTCTTAAAATTGCCTCAATCTTTAAAATTTTATAGCAGTTCAAGAAACTTTATTTTATAAATCTTAATGTTGCCATTATTATTCTCATTACACAGTTTTTACATGGAATTTTGTACATTTACAACGTAAACACCACCAGCAGCAGCAAAATGATGCTCTTTCAGTTCATCCAGGGGTCAAGTTTGGTTAAAAAAAAATATATGTATAGTTAAAGGTGTGGGAAATTTGTTAAATCAACTCATTTGCAGTGGTCTCTGGTACGTCTGCCTTGAAAGCAGTACTCGGGGCAAAAAAAAAAAATCATCAACTCATTCATCAGTTTGATTTCCTCATCTAAAATCAAATCAAGGTTTTTCCTAAACGGTTATGTTTTAGTTCAGCATGATTCACGTTTTCTTTCCTCCATGAGGATCAAGCAGGTGATGCTCGCCGCCAGTCAGCTTGCATCTGATTAGCCTTTCCATGAGCATTGCTGTATCCAGTCAGCAGCTTTCTAACTTAATTTTTTCCTCTCTCCTGAATTTATGTCTTAACCATATCAAGTTACGTCAGCAATTCTTTGTTGCTCAGGCCCTCTAGACTGCGTATTTTGGGCTGTCTGCGTGTCCTCGTGGCTTTCACTTCATAGGAACTTTCAGTGTTTTCCTCAGCAGTTAAATCCTTAACCAGGGGGGCGTATTAGGAGAGGACAGTTAGTGGTTTGTAGTGTTTGCTTGGTAAAAAAAAAAAAAGTATTCGCTGCAAAGAGCAGGTCAGAAAAATGCAAAGAGGAATAAAGAGTCGAGTGTGTGGATGTGTTTGTAGCTTATCGTGTTGGGAAGCAAAACGTTTATTTTTAAGACTAAAAAGACCAATTTGACATCCGGTTTTATTTTTTCTGTTTTTACAGATCGTAAAGATTCTAGTCACTGAGCGACACCCTGGTGATCCATAACGTCTCAGTTTTCTTTACCTTTTAGCTGCTTCCCCTGCTTTCTATTTCAGTTCCTGTTCACCTTCAGGCAATGACTTTCAACAACCGCTAAAGGTCATTATTATTTTTAAAAATCTCACATGTTGTCATTTCTTTGTCAGCACCAAGCTTCAACTTTCACCTTTGTCAGCAGTGGAAAGATATCAGATGTTTTCTATTTTAAGTTCAAAATCAGCCTAAAGAGGAGGTTCACATGGCTATTTTGTGCAGCTCTGGTGCTTTTGTTGTGCCTTACATCCATGTAGCTCTCGGTTTCATCCCTGGAGGGGTAATCTGATGCTCCAGGCATAGCTTTGTGTGCACAATTCTCTTTTCTCTGTGCACATCTGCATGTAGTTTTCCTGCAGCCATGCTCATGACTGATTCCACCTGCAGCCCTTTACCCAGCTCTGTCCTGGTATCCTGACCTGTCAGCGGTCCAGCACAGGGTAAACGTGTGTGTCTGGGGGTTTTATTGCATTGTGTCTAAATTAGATCCTGTCCATCTTGCTCACTTTTCCTGAATCACTTTGCACAGTATTTATTCATCTCTCCAGCACTGAAAGCTCCTTGGCAAAGCAAGAGTGAGAGAAGCCTGCAAGCTATTTCTGTTTGGGTTTATGTTTACGAGGCCCCTGCTCTGATTACTTGGTCTTCTAAGAACACTGATAAGCTCTCTCTGAACTGCAGAAAACAGTTGGGTTTGTTGTGGCCAGATGTAGACTAAAGATGAGGCAAAGGAAAAGAAGTAGAGACGGAGACTGATTGGATATTGATGTGCTATTAGTTCCACCCAAATGCATTTTTTTCCTTTCTAGGCTTTGTTTTTCTGTCTATTCTTGTTTTCGGGCTCTCGTCTGCCTTGCTACAAGTTCAGGAGGTTTAAACGAGTCGTTTTAAATCCAAACAAACATGCTGCGCTCCTGACAACCTGCATTTCACTGCCCTGATGTCATGAAAACAGCTCCCTTGAAACTCAAGAGTTTGGCACTTTGTCAACTTGGCAAACTCTCACTTTACAACTTTCTGTTTATCGCTTCAAAGGAGCTTTTTGTTACCAAACAAAGCGCATTTCTCAGTTTATTATAATCAGTTTCTTGCACGCCCGGTGACGGTTTTCACTCAGACGCCGTTGCACTTTGATCAGATGACGGTCATCACACACCTGTTAAAAATTCTGTGTTTCTGGGCTACAAAACACTGCTGCAGCAAATAAAAGACAACAAATCTACCACTGGAAAAGGCTGAACAGAAAACAACAACAGGAAAAAATTAAAAATAAGATAATATTGGTTTAAGAAATTGAAAACAGATGAGAAAAGACTTTTCACACACAAAACGAAAACATGAGTTTTGAGCTTGTTGGTTTTGTGACATTTGTCAGGGTTGTTTGATTTTATCTCACTTTACTTTGATGGTTATAAAACGCTACAATATGTGTTTTCTTGCCATTATTGTTTTTGTTGTGGTTTCATTCATGTTTGGGTTTCTCTTTTTTACAAAAATCGTAAATTTGACATCTTTGTACTTTCTTCAAAACAAACTCCACTTAAAACGATACTTTGCAACTTTTTCATATTTATTTTTATCATTTTTATGAGCCAGTTTGCTAAAATGACCCTTTGGGGTTAATGAAAGACCACCTAGCCCCTATCACCCCCTATGGACAGAATATTCCACTTGCCACTTCAGAGTTGCCGGTTGGGCTGTAGCGACTTAGAAAAAAATTGAGTTTGAATACCTGGCGCTGCAGTCTGGTTCCAATAATTTTCTTGCAGGTTTTAGATCATGAACTCAGCTGATTTGTTTAATTTAATCACAAATCACTCCTGTAGACACTAAGGAAGGCTGGGAAGACAATTTAGCTGTTAGATTAAGACATTAAAAAAGATGAAAGCACAGCAAGGAGATAAGTTTTGCTCTTGGTTCTACAAATGGACACTAGGGAGTGCTAAAAGCAAGCCAGAACAGTTTAGTTCCCCTTTAAAGTAACAACAGATAGTTTTTTTTTTTACTTTAACATTGATCTCAGTGATTGTTGGGTTAGAAACTTGACCAGTTTCATGTTTGACACCACTCTGCAGCCCTCTGCTGACAAAAATGAGCACAATTTTTGTGGAGCGGGTAGGTGTTCAAGAGGGCATTCTTTATCAAAGTTACCTTTCACAGAAGTTAGCTGTAATGCTAGTGGTTTGCTTCTTCTTTTGGCATCATGGCAAAGCCTGGAAGTAAAAGTAAAAAAAGTTATGTCTTTGGAGGAGAAGCAAAGAGCTAAAACCAGAGTAAACATTGACGCGTCCTACACAAGGAGGCTGCAAATTCATGGACTGATGATGATCTGGCTTTGTTGCTATTGGACTTGTAAGTGTTAATATTTTTTGTCCAACAGTGTGGATCTTTTTACTTTGTGGTTTATTTTAGCATTAGTGGCTCATATTAGTGCTAGCTTGTTGTTAGTGCAAGCCAGGACCTTTGAGATACAGAGTTCGGACACTCCATAGGCTTCAATAGGAAGAGGTAGTGTCGGTCATGGAGCTTCGAATAGTTCCAAACACCAGTAGTTCCACCATTGAAAGCTGTTCGTTCTCGTTGTTTCAGAGCTTTTTTCCTTCGGTAAGTTATTGAAATTACAACATTTTGGCACTGTGAAGCATTAGCAGACTGCCTCGAACCAAAATGAGTCAATAGTAAAGTAAATTGTGATCATGAACATTATTAATT